GGAGGGGCTTGTCGGGGTTCCCAGGGAAACCAGTGGATCTGCTTTGCACGGTTCAAATGTGCTCAGATATTTGCTGATGTGACTCAGGCCCTTGCCTGCCTGCCCAGGAACCTGGCCACGAACTAGAGTGGCCAGATAGGTCTTTCAGACCCAGAGTGCTGGCCTGCCCACACGGGCTCCTGTGAGCATCGCCTGCAGCCAGCCTCCTCTGGCTGCACCGGCCAGGGCCACGCCAAGGCACTGTTTTCCAGGACTCACTGCCAAAGCCCCGTTTTCCCGGATGCCTGAGCTGCCTGGGGTTCTGTGTGGAGTGAGGGGAACTGCCTTCTCCCCAAGCATTATAACAAAATAAGTTACTTGTAAACTTGGAAGCATCACTCTGGACTCCAGAACCTCACCAAGTCCTCAAACATTGTTCCTCCAGCTTCTTGCCCGGCGCTGGAGCTGCTGGTAGAAACTGCTCCAACCAAAAATAAACCCAAGTTTAACGTGCAGTCTGGCCAGAGGTTAGGACAGGGCCCTGGAGATAAATCTTGTAGCCAATCATTACCATTTAGGAACTCTGACCTTGGGGAATTTTCTGGAATTCCCTAAGCCTGATTTTTCTTTTCTGTGACCAAAGGTTAAAAAGGGTACCCAGCCCTGTCCACTGGCTTGTGAAGATTAAACAAAAACAAGCTGAACTACTAATTATATTTTTAAAAAACACGCACAGAAACGTTGCCATGGGTTGGCAGACTCATGCCCTTCACATGTAAACCGTTAGTATCTTATACTTTTGGGATTTTCCTCCTAAATTAAGTACATGTTTATTGTATACAATTTGGAAATTCAGAAAAGCATGAAGACAGTTGTTTTTAATTGTACCACCTAGAGAAAAGATACTGTTTTTAAGTTCTGATCTTTTTTTCCTATAAGTAAAATTTTCCCATTTTACAAGTGAGTACATTGAGGCTTAGAAAGCTGAAGTATTTTGTCCCAGGTCCCAGTCAGAAGAGAACTGAATCCAGCCTGATTCCAAGGTCTTAGGAACAAGCTGTATCTTCTAGATAGATCCTTGTATTCATCCTTGGCGTCCTGTGGGTGAAATGTTAGAATACATCATCAATTTAAAAATTAGGGAGGGTGTAATTTTATTCATTAAAATATGTACATATTTAGCTGGGCACAGTGGCTCACGCCTATCATCCCAGCACTCTGGGAGGCCAAGGTGGGCGGATCACCTGAGGTCAGGAGTTCGACACCAACCTGGCTGACATGGTGAAACACCATCTCAACTAAAAATACAAAAATTAGCCAGGCTTGGTGGTGAGTACCTGTAATCCCAGCTGCTTGGGAGACTGAGGCAGGAGAATTGCTTGAACCCGGGAGGCAGAGGTTGCAGTGAGCGGAGATCGCGCCACTGCACTCCAGCCTGGGTGACAGAGTAAGACTTCGTCTCAAAAAAAAAAAAAATTCAATGTAAAATTTAATTTGTACATATTTAATCATTGGTGATTTAAAACTAGACAATCCTCTGGAGGGAATATTGCATGGAAGTAGGAGGCATGCAGTCAGCTGAAATGGCCTCCTGCAGCCCTTTCCATTCATAGCATTTGTGCGATTCATCACTCTGACATTAAGACTATCTGAAAGTTCAAAGCACGAAAAGCACCAACTTTAGGTGCATTAACTCTGATATTTTATGGACAGGCACCCCATGCCAGTGGAGAACAAAATCTAAATTATGGCTACAGATGAACTTATAAAAGAAGAAAGCATATGTCTCTACTTAGATAAGTTTTAAATCTCAAATGTGTTAAGTCGGCAAAAATGATTTTCATTTACCAATGAAAGTGTTTTCTTTTCAGATGCCTCGGGCTCTGTCGAGTTAGGTGTCTGGTTTACTCTTGCTACTGCTCCTAAAAAACAAAGCTTCCTGTGACACGGAAGGGGACAGACCTCAGTGTCTCAGTTTTGATTCATACCTATTTTTTCAAGAAAGGTCTAATTTTATATAACATCTCACTCAAAATGTATTCAGTGCCAGCGTTTTCTGGGTCCTATACTTTTTGATGAGGAGATGACAGTCTTTTAAAAAATCATCATGTCTTAGCGGTTTCTAGCCCAGCTGCTGCATTTAGAGCAGCTGCATTCCCTGCTGGCGTGAACAACTCTCTTTACCCGTAGTGTCTTCCTACTTTGACTACAAGTCTGCCATTCTGCTATTCTATGTCTTGCGAGATCCTCTTTTTGCCTAGAATTATTTTTGAATCCAACATAGGACTTACCAGTGCCCGACACATGATAAGCATTCAAGTAATACTTATTTTCAGAAAATGAGTGAGATGGGCATTATATTAATGTATTAATCCAACACATGTACTGAGTACCATTTATATGCCAGGTACTGTGCTGGCCTCTAGGGAGGGTGATGAACCAACAGTCTTTGCCTTCTAGGGATTTTGTCTCACGGGGGAACAGGTGCCTAAGTACACCATCACTAAGCAGGAGATCAAAGGCTGAGCTGGGGCTGCACACAGGCTGCTTTGGAGGCACTAATAGCTCTTCAATGAGACTTTGGGGATAAGCTGTGTTAGGGTCTGTAGAATTCCTCAGTCATTATCAATTTGTCAGTGTGTTGCTATTTCATGATTAACCACTCTCCTACAATTGGAAAGAACTGCGGTGGGAGATAATTAGCAGAAGATTATCTTCTAATTAATTGTAACATCTCCAGCATAAGGTACTATAATTTGAGAGAACATTGGTAACTCACTATGCAGTCACTTCAGACAGGTTTGCTTTGCAGCTTAAAGCAATGGCAAACTCCTTTGTATCTTTGTGCTCTGAGATCTGCTTGTTACTGGGTTCAAGGCTGGTGAGGGAGTGTTTGCTTGGATCTGGATAATTGCTGGTGGGTCAAAACCAGCTGAAAATACTTATTCTCCCCGTAGCAAACCAGAGATAAAGGACGTCATTATCACAAAAGCCACATGCTTGGTCAGGTCTCGGAGCATCATTGCCAGTTCCACTTGAGGCCTCCCCAACTACAGAAGAACCCAGTGGGCCTATCCTGCTTTTAGTTTGAGGCACACAGGAAGTTCTGTTTGCCAGTGATTTGCTTTGGCTTTGAAGAAAAGCGAAGAGGGAAGACTAAAGTGTCAGTGAGTAAGTGAGTGAGAATGGGAGCAGAAGTCAAAGCTTTTGGAGACAGGGTCTCACTGTGTTACCCAGTCTGGAGTACAGTGGCATGACCACTACTCACAGCAGCCTCCACACCCTGGGCTCAGTTGATCCTCCCACCTCAGCCTCAGCCTCCTGAGGAGCTGGGACCACAGGCATGTGCCACCACACCCGGCTAATCTTTTTGTATTTTTATAGAGATGGGGTTTTACGATGTTTCTCGGGCTGGTTTCAAACTCCTGGGCTCAAGTAGTCCATCTGCCTCGACCTCCCAACATGTTGGAATTACAGGTGTGAGCCATGGCAACCAGCCTAAAGCTTTTTTATTTAACTCATTACTACTTTTGAGTGGTTTGATATAAAAAAGTGTATTTGAGTCATGAAAGTTAGAAAAGGAATTTTAATCAACCCTCATTGGCTTCCAAGGGAGCAGGTTTTAGAAAAATTATGGACGAGGCGCGGTGGCTCATGGCCTGTAAATCTCAGCACTTTGGGAGGCCGAGGCAGCCAGATCATGAGGTCAGGAGTTTGAGATGACTAGCCTGGCAATATGGTGAAACCCCGTTTCTACTAAAAAATATAAAAAATTAGCCAGGTGTGGTGGTGGGCGCCTGTAATCCCAGCTACTCAGGAGGCTAAGCCAAGAGAATCGCTTGAACCCGAGAGGTGGAGGTGGCAGTGAGCTGAGATCATGCCACTGCACTCCAGCCTGGGCGACAGAGTCAGACTCCATCTCAAAAAAAAAAAAAAAAAAAAAAGAAAAAAAAAAAAGAAAAAACAAAATCATGGCATCCAAAGATAAAGTTCATGACTAAGTCCCCTGCCCAGGGTTCCCACTGTTCTTCAGAGGTATCCAGCACCAAAAACCGTGTTGCATTTTTTTATGACTCACTTAAGTTTAGGAGTGGGAGAATATGTTTAACCCCAAATCTGCACATCTCAAAATTCAATCTAGGATTAAGAAAAAATGAAAACAAGCCCCCCAGCTCCAAGATAATCACTGATATTGCATTAGGGAAATAGACCTATCAGGTATTTTTAACACAAGGAAAAAGAGGCATTTTACTATTTGATACTCAGTGAACTCGTGTATAGCAAGGGTCCTGTTGTCGAGATCTGAAATACCAGCTGATACAGAAGGTTCTGTCTCCTGTGATGCCAGCGGCCACTGTGTCATGTATTTTACATCTTGCAAAGCATGCAATACAACTGTCATTTTGTTTTCACTGGAAAACAAAATTTCATTTTTTGGTGCAGATTAATGCATTTCTTCAGAGGATCCAAGAACATGTTTCATTCGAATTGAAGACTGTCAGGCTGGGCACGGTGGCTCATGCCTGTAATACCAGCACTTTGGGAGGCCGAGGTGGGTGTATCACTTGAGGCCAGGAGTTCGAGACCAGCCCGGCCAACACGGTGAAACCTCATCTCTACTAAAAATACAAAAATGAGCTGGGTGTGTGGCCCATGCCTGTAATCCCTGCTACTTGGGAGGTTAAGGTGGGAGAATCGCTTGAACATGGGAGGCAGAGGTTGCAGTGAGCCGAGATCCTGTCACTGCACTCCAGCCTGGGCAACAGAGACCCTGTCTCAAGGAAAATAATAATAATAATAATTGAAGGCTGTCATTGAAGCAGAAACAAACATCAACAGTGAGTAAACTGAACTCCCTTTCATTGAAAAAGGGACGATGAGGAAACACCAACTTCTCTCCTGTTTATCATTTCTCCTGTTTCCTGGATATATGTATTGCCCCCTAAACTCGTGCTAGTCACATATAAAACAATTTACGATTAATCTAAGGGGATTAGTGAGCTTCTAACTGAAACAGTGTGTCAGGACTACACAGTTTAATACATCCAAATAATTTAACAATTAGCTTAATGCACAGGGTTTTTGTGTACCTTGCCCATTCACTGAACTTTTAAACCCTCCTACACACGAAAGAGGAACAGGACTCCTTAGTATTAAGTCATTGAAATTATGGAATTGCTCAGACTTGAGACTTTCCACAGTTTTTCATGAGAAGTCAGTTACATTAAATCACGCTTTGTTTGCTTTTCTGGACCTATTTTTGCTCAATCCCAAATAAAACTCCTAACCCAGTTTTGGGCTCAGCACTGATTTGGAAGCTAAAACGTTTTGAGATAAATACAAAATATAGTCCCGTCCCAAAGGACACAGGCCTTTTTAAGAATAGCAACAAAGGTAAATAAAGCAGGACAGCATGTCCTGAGGATGAAGTGTTTTGCAGACTCTTCTCATCGATCTGGTCAGGAGGGGAGAAAGGCTTTGGCCTCCCTGATCTTTTGCCTCACGCCTCTGCAGGACAAAGTGAGCCCAGCGTGGTGGCGCTTCAGGGATTCCAGGCGCTGGTGGAGCAGTTGGGTCTTGTCCACTTTTTCTTCCAAGTCCCGAAGAAGTGAGTCCTTGCCTAGAAGCCCGCACTTCTGATTCAGCCTGATGTTGTCTGTCCGCAGCCCCTCTCGGGCTTGCTTCGTCTTGGTCAGGATATCTCTTCCTAGGGCGACCTGGGCCTCGATTTCTGCCAGCTGTGTCTTTTTGCACGCGTTCTCCGTGTTCATGAAGTGCAGCTTTTCCTTCATGTGGGTTATTACTTGCACACTGTTGGTCACCTTGTTGCGAAGTTTTAAAAGTTCCTCATTTCGTTCCTCAATTTTCTCATTGAAGGTCTGGTTCTCAATCTTCAGCTGTTCAAAGTCAATAAGAAGCAGACCCTGGGTCTGGTCCTCCTGGGTCCTCATCCTGGTTTCAAAATGCACCAGGCTCTGCTTCAGTTGCACGTTCTCCAGCCGCACGGCGCTCATCTCCTTCTCCTTTTTATCCTCCAACGCCAGGATCTGCTCCACCTCTCGCAGAGCAGCCTGGCGCCCGCCCCTCATCCGACAGCTGCCCATGGCCTGCATCACCACCTGCTTCTTGAGTGCCTGGAAGCGCCGCCACTCCTTCTCCACCCTTGAGAGCTTCTCCTGGCACTGCTGCTTCAACTGGCCCAGCTCCTGGTGGTACCACTGCAGGTCGTCTGCCTGCTGCTTCTTCAGGTCCTCCAGCATGCCCAGATGGCGCAGGTACGCTTGCTCTTTCTCGGGGGCCTCTGCCTCTGCGCCCCGGTCAGGCACCTCCGCGGCCTCCAGGCCCTTCTTTTTGCGCAGCGCCTCGAAGATCTTGTGCTGCAGGTACAGGTTATAGCGCTGGGAGCGGTTCCGCTCCACCAGCAGGGAACGGTACTGGTCCAGGAGGTCGCTGCGCAGCTGCTGCTCCTGTAGCTTCTGGACCTCCTCGGACCACTCGAGGTCCTCAAACTCGTCCCTTCCACCGAGGGGCTTCCCCTCTTCCTGGCTTTTGGCCGGGCGTCCTTCCCCAGCCCTCCCCTCGCTCTCCGCGCCGTCTCTCCGTGTCTCCTCCTCGTCCTCCTCCTCCCCCTCTGTCTCGGCCTCCGGAGCTGCAGCAGCCTCTTCCTCGCCGATCCTGGTCAGCGGCAGAGAGGCCTGGGACCGGACTTCCTTGCCCTCCGCCGCCTGCTCCAGCTCCTCCGCCCTCGCCTCCGCATCTAGTTCCTCGGGCCCGGCTCCGGACTTCGGCTGGGCGGGCTCCTCAGCCCCGGCCTCGGCCGGCTCTTCGGGTTCGGGCTGGGGCTTGGCCGGCCTCCCCGGCTCTCCAGGCCCCTCCTCGCCCGCAGCCTCGGCTGCCGTTAGCTCTTTCGGGGCCTTGGCCTGCTCGTCCGCGGCGGTGCCTCCCTGCGAAGCCTCCTCTTCCTCCTCCTCCTCCTCTGGCTCCGACTCCAGCTCCCCGGGTTCTGGAGGGGTCGGAGGGCCAGAGCTGGCCTTGATCTTGGACGGCCGCGCGGCCAGGCTTTCCCCATCTCCGCCTTCCCCGCCGGGGTCCTTAGTGTGCTCAGACCCGCCGTCCATCTCTGCCCGGTTCTGCCAGCGCAGCAGACCCCGGCAGCATGCTGTTAGGTTTCCCGGGGCAACCGAGGGCGCGAGCGCTGGGCCCGGCGATTGGCCAGGCGACAGGCCGTCGTCCAGCCTCTTCTCCCCGGAGAGCAAGCCAATGGGAGGCCGCGAGCTGGCGATAGGCGAGATTGATTGGAAGCGGCCGTGGGCGCTCGCCGCGAGGGGCGTGGCGTCCCCGCCGGGCTTTCTGCCTGCCCATTTCCCACCGCTGGGCCTGGGGCGGGGCGTTCAGGAGGCTCTGGGAAAGGCGGCGGCGGCCGGCGCGGGGTGCGCGCAGGCGCAGAGCGGTGGGCTGGGCGTCCGCAAGGTGGCGCCCGCGGGGCGCCTGCGCGATGCGGCGGGGCGACAGCGGCCGCGGCGGCGGCTGCCGGGCCGGGCCGGACGGCGCCTGCGTACTGAGGCGGGACGCGGCCCGGCTGGCTGGCTCCGGCGGCTGCTGGGCTGGGGCCGCGGTGGCCGGCGGCTGCTGGGCTGGGGCCGCGGTGGCGCAGCCGCGGCGACGGGCGGCGGTTGCTTCGTGCGCGGCGGCGGCGGCGGGTCCCGCGGGCGGCGGGGCGCTGACGGCCGGGGGCGCGGCGGCTGCGGCGGGCCGGGCGGCGGGCGGCGAGCGGGGGAAGATGGCGGAGCTGGGGAAGAAGTACTGCGTGTACTGCCTGGCCGAGGTGAGCCCGCTGCGCTTCCGCTGCACCGAGTGCCAGGACATCGAGCTGTGCCCCGAGTGCTTTTCGGCCGGCGCCGAGATCGGCCACCACCGCCGCTACCACGGCTACCAGCTGGTGGACGGCGGGCGCTTCACGCTCTGGGGGCCCGAGGCCGAGGGCGGCTGGACCAGTCGCGAGGAGCAGCTGCTGCTGGACGCCATCGAGCAGTTCGGCTTCGGAAACTGGGTGAGCGGCGCGACAGGGGCCGGGTCCCGGCTAGGGCACAGGAAGGCCCGCGCCTCTCCTGTATCGGGCGCGCAGGCAGCACTGGACCTGCTCGCTCCGCTCGGCACCCCGGAAGGCCCCGGAGGTGGGGAGGGCGACGCTGCCGGTTTATAGTCGGGCACCTGTCGGAACCTATGCTCCGAGAGGCTGTGACGCGCCCAAGGTCACATAGCCGAGACGGGGCCAAGTGGGGCTTTGAACGCTGGTTACTGACAGTAGAGCCATTTCCCTCACCTTCAGGGACGCCTTCACAGGCGTTTGCGGAGTGCAGACGTTGGGCGAGACGCGGTGCCTTACCTGAGTTCGTGGAGTCAGGCAGGCCCACAGACTCGACAGAAAGCGGTGGGAGCACCAGGGAGGGAGAACGGTGGGCGCCCTGCGGCTTGTCTCGGGGTCTCTGGGGCGGCCCCGTTTGCTTTCTGTCATTGTATGCATGTGCCCTGTGTAGTGTGCCAGTGCACAGATTCTTTGTGGGTAGCCTGCCTGGTTTATGCTTGGGTCTCCACAACCCAGGACATTGTGCGAGTGGTCAGTAAAGAATGAACAAAGAGGCCTGGCCTGGGAGGCCTGGGGCTTGGGTTTTGCCCTCTTTACGTTTGAGGTTTTGTAGAGACAGCTCTGTGTGGGGAGCGGTGAGAGCTGGACTGGATCCACTTACGCTAGCAACATCGTGTGCTAGGTTCTGTCCTTGAGAGAGGAACATGGTTGTTCTCTCTGGGCGGTTTCTCAGCTCTCCTTTCACTCTGGAAGCTTGCATCCGTGTTAGAAAGGAGAAAATCTCTAGCCGTATTCCCACTCATAACCACCAAAGACATGTGGCCATCCCCAGGCACCCTGAGAGGGAGGGGAGTGAGACACCCCAGCGCCCTTAGCTTTGCAGAGTCTTCCCCTGCTACACCAGGTGCCTGCTTCTTGGAACAGCATCCATCTGCTGCCACGTCTCCAGCAGTCCTGCCTGGGCTGCTTTGATTGCCTTTTGCTTTCCTTTCCTGAAGGAGTCTCAGGACCGCCTCATATACCCATTCTGAAGCTCTGGAATCTTGATTCTCCTCCCAGCTCCTTAGAGAAGATGGTCCTTTACAAATCCTTACCTAATGGCCACCAGCATTGGGATCGCCATTTTTCAGAAACTCTGGCCCATCTTGTCCTTCCATGCTGTTTGTGGATATGCACTGAGCTTGTGTTCCGTGCAGATTCTACAGTGGCGGAGGACTCTGAAGAAAAGAGAAGCCTTTATCCCTCCATTCAGGGAGCCTAAAGTGTGGTACTGACTTGGTCCTGGGCCCAGAGCTCCTCACTAGCAACAGCCATCCATGTCCAGCCACCTCCCTGTCCTATCTGCCTCTCAGTGTCCTCTTGACTTACTCCTTAGTTCCTTGTTCCACTAAGTTCCTGATCCAGTTTATCAGCTGTCCCCTCACAGTACATCCAGAACAAACTACTTCTTACAGCCGTAGTCCCGGCTGATGTTTACTTCTTGCCTTGACCACTTTGGGAGCCTCCTTGTTCGTTATTCCCCCTGCACCCCATTCCCCCATTCCACACACCATAACCAGAGCGAGCTTTGGAAGCACAGAGCGCCTCACACCGGCCTCAGTGGCTTTTACTTCAGTTAAGGTGGCCTTAGAAGTGTTGAGCAATGAGATCTCATCTGTTACCTCCCTTGATCGTTTTATATTTCTTCTACCTAGAGTGCTCTCCCCCAAAATCATGGCCCAGGATTGATCTTTTCACTTACATATCAGTGCCTCAAAGGGTTCTTCCCTTCACCATCCCAGCAATTATCTCTATGTTAGCAGCTAAGGAGGTGCAGAGCCTTGCTGGCATATCTGTGCGTATCTCAGGACATTTTCCCGACAGCCCTTGGCAGTTGGCTTTGGATGGACCAGTTTGACTTCAGAGCCTGTACTCTTAACTACACTGTCTGCACTGCCTTCCCTGCGGTACTGTGGAAAATACACAGAACACAATACCTGGGGAACAAAAACATTTATTTGGTTTTGGAAGAAACCAGGCTAGAAGTGGAGAGGCCTGTCTTGTAAAACAATACTTTCCAAACTAATGTGCACACAGACCACCTGGGGAGCTGGTGAAAATGCAGATTCTGACTCAGCTGTTAGAGGAGACAGAGCCAGGAGAGGAAGGGCATGGGGCTTGGGCTTGGGCTTGGTGCACAGGGGGCCTGGCCAGGCTGCGGTCAGGGCGTTCTCCCACTGCACCAGCGCCAGGCCACGGCGAGGCCTGAGAGCCTGCATTGCAGCCAGGGTGCAGGGGGTGCGCCGGCCCGTGACCCCCGCCCCCTCCCCCGGAGTGGTGAGGTACCAGTATTCAGTCATGCTGCCATCTCCCTGGCAGAGCCTCGTTGTGCTAACCCCTGGGACTTTATTTTTCTTCCTCTGAGGCTGTTCTGCAGCTCTGAGATGGGCGGTGCTCTTCTGAGCATGTATCCAGCTGTGTGTACAGAGCTGGCATGTCCCACTGCCTCTGTCCGCTCTGGGCCAGGCTCTTCTGGGCCAGGCTCTTCCCATACGTGTCTTGTGGGATCTTCCTAGCAGCCCTGGGGGTTGGGTTCTTATTCTTACAGTTGAAGAACAGCAGCTCTAAGAAACTAAGCGCCTTGTCAGGGATTTCATGGCATTCATGTGATAGAGCCACAAATGAATGCCGGCCTGTGTGATTCCAAAGCCCAGGCCCTAACCCATGGGTGAGAGCATTAGGCAATGTGGGTCACAGGCTGGGAGGCCGTCGGTGCCACCGCAGGAGTGGATGGAGTGGAAGGGCTTGACCTGATTCACTGGAGATTAGTGTGGGGGCAGGGCCTGGGCTCCTGGGCTGCGACTGTGAGTGTGGAAGGAGATGGTGTGGGGGCTGGGGACAGTGATGTAAAGAAAGTTGAGACTTGTTGAGTTCTACTTTCAGATGTCAATTGGTGACACCTGGCCTGGGGGTTGTACTACTGCATGTGGGATTCATGGGAGAGGGTGGGTTGTGGCCAAACCTGGCAGCTTTGTGGTCACACTTTGTACCAGGGCTGGGGGATGGGGCCTGAAGGGGACGAGATGTAGCTGAGCAGGGTTTACAGTGACAGCTGGGGGCTTAGGGACAACCTGTGTGCTGGCGTGTGTGTTTCATAGTGAGGGGCAGAGAGAACAGGTTAAAGGACCTTGGCGACAATGGGAAAGAGTTGGCAAGCAGTGACCCAGAGTCAGATCAGCGGGGTTTGGCGTCTCTAGATGGTTCTGTGCAGGATTCCAAGAGTTAGAGGATGCAGGCCCTGCTGGAGCACAGGAACACAGACACAAACACAGGTGACAGCTGAGGGCAAGTCGCAGCTGTGGCAGAGGAGCCGAAGCTGTTGATTGGTTGCCAAAGAAATCGGACTGACACTGAGGAGCTTGAGGAGGGCCAGTGCACCTCTGCAGGTGGTGGTCAGGAGGGATTTGATGGCGAAGTGGGGTTCAAGCTGGCCCTTGTGGTTTTGAATCAGATGAGTGTGTAAAGTTCTCTGTGAACCATGGAAGGCCTCGTGCACACACGTCAACACTCAGGCTCCTTCCTGGAGCCAGGTGGGGTGTCCTGAGTAGAGCTGCACCCTTTGAGATGATGATGGACACCCAGGAGGTGGGAGAAGGCCAGACACATCGATGATCACTGCCTTGTGTGTGCATTCATTCTCTCATTCATTCAGTTAGCACTGCCTCGGGGCCTGGTACAGACCAGCCCCTGTGGTGAGAACAGGCTAGGAGGAAGACGGCTGCCTCACCTGGCAGGTGCTGTGTGGGCAAGTGGGCCTCAGGATGTCCTGCGGAGGGAAGGACATAAGATGGCTGTGCAGTTAGAGGAGAGTGTGGAGGAAGGAAGGGTTTTGTGTTTTAAGAGTCTGGTGTATTCAGGGCCAGGCAAAAGCCAGCTTGGGGTGATGGAGGAAGCTGGTGAAAAGCCCTGGGTGCCGGGTGCGAGAGCGTTACTGGGGTTTGAAGTCGGCTCAGGCTCTGTGATCACCCAGTGGCTGCTTGCCAGTGCCAGGCCCTGAGCAGGTGCTTTGACACGCACCCCTCACCATCTCCCCGTCCCCTAATCCCCGAGACAGGTGCTCCCCGCTTTTACAAACGAGGAAACAACTGTGGGTGATGTGGGAACATGGAATTTCAACCCAAGGCTTCTGACTGCATGCCTAGAACCATCCGTTTCATTGTTCACCAGCCGTGCTGCAGGATCCACTAGGATTCCCAGGGATCCCCCTAGATCTGCGGGATTGTCACCTCTGAGACCGAGGTCTAGAAATTTGGATGGATGGAAAGAACCCAAGGGAGCTGTGAGGTGCGGTTGGAAACCATGGGAAGGGGGACCCTACCTTCCGCTACAGGGCAGAAGGCTCCACTGTGCGTCAGCCCCAGCCTGATCGTCCTGCTGGGGTTCCAGGGATCGCCATTAAGGATGGCGGGAGCGGGAGGGAGAGCCCGGATGGGAGAGTGGCTGGGAGGGGCAGGGCACGCAGAGGGGGTCTCCAACTCCAGCCCGCAGCGGGACACCCAGGAGGCCTGGCTCACATGAGTCACCCCCACCTCCCAAGTTGCTGAGTCAGGGGTGGGGCTTAGAATCTGCATTTCTAACAACCTCGTAGGTGCTGCTGATGCGGCCACTGTGGGACCTCACTTTAAGAACCACTGGGGTAGAGTGGTAAGACATGTCACTTTATAAAACTTCAAAATTATTTAAAAATATATTGATTTTTATTGTGGTACAATATGTGTAACATAAAATTTACCATTTTAACCCTTTTTAAGTGTTCAGGTCTGGAAGCATTAAGTCCACTCACAGTGTTGTGCAGCCATCACCACCAGCCACCTCCAGAACTTTCTCATCTTGCCAGCCTAAAACTCTGTCCCCATTCAACACTCACTCCCCCTCCCCCAGCCCCTGGCACCCCCATTCTACCTCCTGTCTGTGGTGCTAGGGACCTCATATAAGTGGGTCCTGCGGGATTTGCCCTTTTCCGACTCTGGCATATCTCACTTTGCATCATGTCCTCAAGGGTCATCTGTGTTGTGGCATGTGTTGGCACGGCCTTGCTCTCATGGCTGAACGATCCAGTGTCGTCTCTGTGGCATTTTGTGTTTGTCTACGTATCTGTGATGGACATTCGGTTGCCTCCACCTCTTGGCGAATGTGAATAAGGCTGCTATGAACATGGTGTTCAGGGATGTCTTCAAGATCCTGCTCTCAGTTCTTCTGGGTAAATAAAAGTGGAATTGCTAGATTAGGTTCTGTGTGTAATTTTTTTTTTTTGTTAGGGTTTCGCTCTGTCACCCAGGCTGGAGTGCAGTGGCACAATCATGGCTCACTGTAGCCTCCATCTCTTGGGCTCAAGTGATCCTCCTACCTCAGCCTCTCAAGTAGCTGGGACTACAGTCATGTATCACCACAGCCGCCTAATTTTTAAATTATTTGTAGAGACAGGGTCTTGCCATGTCTTTCAGGCTGAACTTCTGGGCTCAAGTGATCCTCCTGCCTCAGCCCCCCAAAGTGCTGGGGTTAGGCTAAGCCCCCACGCCTGGCCTTGTGTGTGCTCTTTGAGGAACCACCCTGCTGTTTTCCACAGTGAGGAATGCCACTTTCGAAATCTCTGTCACAGGTAGCTTTATCTGACCTGAAGGTGTCAGTCACCTTGAGGGCCAAAGACAACTCTAAGTCACTGAGGTCTCTGAGTTCAGAGAGACCTAGAACTGAGGCTTACAGGGCTTCCCACTGGAACAGGCTGGGGGCAGTGGCCAGGGACAGTGGGGTCTCCGAAAGGTCTGACACCTGGAAGCACAGGCTGCAAAGCCCGCGAGTCCCCCGCCTCCGGCATCAGAGGGATGCTTGTGCTGAGAGTTGAGCTGCTGGAGCAGGGAGGAGGGAAGGGGAAGAGACAGGGAGACCCGGTGTCCTCAAGTCATCTCTCTAAATGTGACAGACAAGGCTAGAAGAGGGAAGAGCCAGGGGTCACCACATGGCTGTGACGGAGTTGGTGTGCCAGCTCCGAGGGCTGTTGGCATCCACGCCTACCTTTGCCTGGCCGCTCTGTCCTGCCGCCAGCTGCAGGTGGCCCTAGTCGTCGGCCCAGTGTCTGAGGCTGAGCTGAGACTGGAGGTGCTGGAGTGACTTTGCTGTGGAAGGTGATGAGGACAGCCTAGTCAGCCTGGAGCCTGTGGGGCATGGAGCTCCTAAGAGGGGCTGATGGCCTGGGTGGCAGGTGGGGCCCTCCCATGTCTGCAGGCTTCTGTGGAATGGCCAGCAGGTGACATGTCAGGGCTCTCTGACCTGTGCAGATGGGAAATGCATGCATGGGCTTGGCTTGGAGCCCTCCTGTGCTGCCACCTGTGGCCTGTGGCTGGTGTGTTTCTTACCTTGCTCTCTTCCCTCCTGTCCTTTAGGACATGGTTCAGTCCCCTGTCCCACGGATTCCATTTCCTCCTGGCCCTGCAGGGGCCACCAGTGTACCCAGCTGCTCCTTAAGCACTCTGCCCACAGAATGCCCTTCCCTGGTGGGACCTGCTGCCTTACACCCAGCTCCCTGGGGAACTGAGCCTTCCTGGCTTTTTGAGCCTCTTTATTTGGAGCCAAAGGAGCTGGAGCTGCACCTCCCTTTGGAGACGACGCCTGGCCCCAAACCCCGGGGGGGGAGCCCAGCCTGGGGCCGGGATGAGCTGTCCTCTGCCTCACCCTTCACAGACCAGATGGGGGTGAGGAAGGACAGCAGTGGGGCCACCGAGGGACAGCAGGGCCACAGGGCTTCGCAGCATCGCCTGGGACAGGAGATGCTCCGGAGCCTGCAGGGCTGGCAGCCTCGGGCACGACGCCGGGTGCAAAGGCCTGAGCTTCACTGCACATCACGGGGGCAGGGTCAGCCTGAGCTGTGGCACCTCTCCAACACGCTTGTTCCAGAAAGAAGAGCAGAAGCCCAGTGGTCCGGCTTTGCTCTGCCTCTTACCACAACATCAGGAAGCGGCTAGGAGCCCCTTGTGGTGTGCGCTGCATCGCGGGATGGTGGGGGGCGCGTGGTGAGGGGTGTATGCTCCCAGCCACATTGCCTGGTGTTGAAGTGGCTCAGTGTTCACTGGCCTCGTGCCCTTGGTGGGGGCTCACCCTCAGGTTTACTTTCCTTATCTGAAAACCGTAGGGCAGTAACAACACTCCTCCTCTGTGGGAAACGCAGGACTGAGTGGGATGATGGGTGTAGACGTAGTTATCTGTTGTTGTTTTAAATTGTATTGGTAAAACCTGCAAAAGGAGGGATGGCAGGTCAGGAAACAAGCTGAGAGGGACCGCAAGTGATGGAACAGTTGAGCCTGGCCCTGGGGGTCACTGAAGGCTTCCTGGACCCAGCGGCCTGGTCTTGAGGGATAAAGGGAAGTTGTGGGAGGGAAGCTGACAGCATCCAGTGCTGGGGAAAGCTGCCGAGACGGAGCACACGCTGTGGCCGCACCTGCCTCCTCACCGCCCTACCAGGTGGGCCCCGGCCCTGAGTCTGGGCATGAGGAGCAAAGGGCACCTCCAGCAGGGTGGGCGCTGCCAGGCCTGCAGTGTCTGGCTGGGTGCTGGGAAGCTCCTGAGAGGTGTGAGGCAGGAGCCAGGGACAGCTGTAGACCCTGCGGGGCACACTCAGGAGTCCGGCTGACGCTGATGGGTTCATGCTCCCAGACTTCCAGATTTCTGAAGGATTTTGGAGGCTGACCTAGTGTTGCTAACTTGAAAATTTGCCAAGTAAGAAAGAGATTTTACAAACATCTCTGCAAGTGAGAAGTCTGCAGGCCTCTTCCTGCTGGTCTCACTGGCTGGAGAGACCAGAGCCAATGCCAGGGGGCCCCACTGGCTCACCTTGTGACCTTGGGTAAGCAGCCCGGCACCACAGAGCCTCTGGGGCAAGGGGACACCCAGCCTCACGTGCCTGGGAACCTGGTGCAGCAGCCATCGGAGCCTCCTGGAAACTGGCGTCTTGACTTGGCTGTGTACGAAGCAGCCCCTCCGCAGCCTCGGACAGGAGCTGGTGCCCAGGGCTGGAGAAGCTGCACAGGCCAAGGTCGGCTCTGCCCCTGCTGCGTGCCTGCTGGGGTGGAAGCACAGACGTGAGGCGTTGGGATGGAAATTCCCACCCTACAGGTACCCCAGGATGTTCACCCAGGGTTTCCACCCAACAGGACCCTTTCCTTCCTAAAGGGCGGGCGTTAGGGACTGTTTTTCCATTAGGTAGACACGGCTGGTAGTTACCTGTTTCAGAGGCCACTGCGGATCCTGGGGCTCCCTGGCCCCAAGGTTGTAGGGGAAGAGCACGAGCTCCCGGTGGCCTCTGCCCCGGCTGCTCCATGAGAGGGGACTCGCGCTCGCCACGTGGGGCCCACTCTGGCCCCGAAGCCTTTTCTCACCCATGTGAGGTGCGTGGGGCTGCACATATCCCCTCTTCTGGCAGTGACACACCTGGAGCTCAGAGATGGGCAGTGACCAGCCTGGGTCCCACAGAGTGGCAGCAGGTGCTGGAGATAGTTGTGACTTGGTTTTGTGTTTTGTTTTAGGCCAAATGCCTCCTGGGGAAAGAAAATGAACAGATTTGCTGCAAACAGTGATGTTTCTAAAAGAAGCAGTCAGTGCCCTCTAAGAGCACAATCAACATTTAGCTCGAATATTTTTACTTTATGAGTCTCAAAGAGGCCCCACAGTTGAGTTTTGGCATTGCCTTCTGTAGTCACAGTCCTGGGCATTCCTGGCCCCAAGGTGGCAGGGGGAGGGGTCCCAGCACCTCGGCTCCAGGCACGTGTGCCAGAGGAAGCCCCAGCTGTGGGGTCCGTTCCTGGAGCCCAGAGCACTTCTCTCCCCGACTCCAGCTCATAGTCATCAGCCTGGTGGGGCGCGGGTCCCTCCGGTTCCAGCTGGGCCTCTGGCTGTGCTGCAGGCAGCGCTGCAGCGCTGGTTCCACACCCAGGCGGGCAGAGGCAGGTGGGGGCTGGGTGGCTGAGAGGCGGTGGCCAGGGAATGAGTGCGCATTTTGGGCAGTTACTTTCTGAAGTGGCTTTAGCGGTTGACTTTGAGGAAGAGGCCTCTCGGCAGAAGGAAAAGATTGAGGGAGTTATACAGTTTCCTCCCATTAAACCTTATATTTATGGGTTACCCTCTTGTAGGAATGATGAATGCTTTCAGCCGGTGGCAGACTCCCAGCCAGCTGCTAACCGTGGAAGGTGCTAGAAATGAAGGCCTGCTCCCTTGAAGAGCCACAGGCCCGTCATCCACAGTCACTGCCTAGGAAAGGGCCCTGCCAGCCCCCCGGGCATGAAGGCCAGGATGGGTGTGCGGCCAGGACAAGTGTCACAGAAGTGTCCTGGCCCTTTCTATTCCAGGAGGCGGCAACATGGTAGAAGTGGGTCCCCTCCTGCAGTGCCGTGGACTTGGCCTGGCCTCACACCCTGGGACAAGCCCATTTTCTAGTCTGAATGAGGCGAGCCCAGCATTCCCTGGCCTGCCCAGCTGTGTCCTGGGACATTCAGCGCGACAGCCCCTGAGTCCAGGGTTTATGGCGATGCAAAATAGCAGCACCAGGTGTGCTCCTCTGGTCCCAGGTGGGGAACGAGAACAAAGTCCAGACCGCAGCCAGGGGTTCTGGCCTCAGCTCTGCCACCAGCTCACCCCAAGACCTTGTGCCAGCTTGTGCCTCTCTGGGTCTTCACTTCTTCATGTAGAGAAACAACGTGTGTTGCTTCCAACATTGTCATCTCTCCCCTGAGCCCAGCTCATGAGAGAGTGTGTGACCGAATGCCTTTGGGGAGGGTGGGTAACGGTGCTGTAGGAAGTACTCTAGGTCAACCTTTGTAAAAACCTGAAGAGAATCTGTGCAGAACCTAAATCTGACACCCTGACGCTGGAAGTAACCTCTGCCCTTTGTCATCGTAGGAAGATATGGCTGCACACGTCGGTGCTTCCCGGACTCCCCAAGAGGTGATGGAGCATTACGTGAGCATGTACATCCACGGGAACCTGGGGAAGGCCTGCATCCCTGACACCATCCCCAACCGTGTGACAGACCACACCTGTCCCAGTGGAGGCCCCCTCTCCCCCAGCCTCACCACGCCGCTGCCGCCACTGGACATCTCCGTGGCGGAGCAGCAGCAGCTGGGCTACATGCCGCTGCGGGACGACTACGAGATCGAGTACGACCAGGATGCTGAGACGCTCATTAGCGGGCTCTCTGTGAACTATGACGACGACGACGTGGAGATCGAGCTGAAGCGCGCCCACGTGGACATGTACGTGCGGAAGCTGAAAGAGAGACAGCGGCGGAAGAACATCGCCCGTGACTACAATCTGGTGCCAGCCTTCCTGGGGAAGGACAAGAAGGAGAAGGAAAAGGCGCTGAAGCGCAAGATCACCAAGGAGGAGAAGGAGCTGCGCCTGAAGCTGAGGCCGCTGTACCAGTTCATGTCATGCAAGGAGTTTGATGACCTTTTTGAAAACATGCACAAAGAAAAAATGCTCCGGGCCAAGATCCGAGAACTGCAGCGGTACCGGCGAAATGGGATCACCAAGATGGAAGAGTCGGCAGAGTACGAGGCAGCGCGGCATAAACGGGAGAAGAGGAAGGAGAACAAAAACCTAGCGGGCTCCAAACGGGGAAAGGAGGACGGCAAAGACGGCGAGTTCGCCGCCATTGAGAACCTTCCGGGCTTCGAGCTCCTGTCGGATCGTGAGAAGGTGCTCTGCAGCTCTTTAAACTTGAGTCCGGCCCGCTACGTGACTGTGAAGACTATTATAATTAAAGACCACCTCCAGAAGCGGCAAGGAATCCCCTCGAAAAGCCGCCTTCCTAGCTACCTGGACAAAGTCCTAAAGAAAAGGATTTTGAATTTCCTCACAGAAAGTGGCTGGATCTCCAGGGACGCGTCTTGAAGCTGAGACGCTTTGAAAGCCAGAGTGATGCTCAGACGGCGCGCCAGCCAAAAGACTTGGTGGAGGGGAGCCGCTCCCCCATTGTTGCTCTTTTTTAAACAAATGGAGTTCCTTTTTTTTTAAGACAAATTCTTTTCATGGTCCTCTGAAAGAAGCAATAGTAACAATCTTATATTGGATCATGGGGGAGGCAAATGTGTCTATTTTAACTTCGTTCTGCAAGTCGTACACTGAGATGATGCTCTGCCTTTACCTGTTCAGTTCGGAGCTTATTGTGAGATTGGATAATTTCCTTTTGAGTGTTCTTCCCTTTGGTACAAAAGCTATTGTGGGTGACAGGAGCAGTGTTTTCCTGCTGGACCGACAAGCCACCAGCTATTTCCTGGTGATGCAAGCTCTTCTCAGGCGGGGCTGCCTGCAGGCTCCCCTTTTCTGAGCCCACGCTGCCCACAGCTGACCCCAGCGCAGCCCCGGGCACGCGGCACTTTACATGGAAGCAGCTTGGGCCCAGACTCCTCCGCCTTGTAGCAGATGAGGAAAATCAGGCCAGAGGACAATAGGCTGGCATTTTGTTGGGAACTGAAGAGGAATCTGTTGAACACAGCAACCAGATGACCTTCCATTTCACCCGCGGCAGCAGTTTCAGCCTGCACTTCCCAAACCCCAAAGCTGACCCCGCGCCTCATTTGATTACGGCCAGAGCCTGCTGGTTCACTTTGGGTAGAGCCGTGCCCCTTGGGCAGGCTCCCATAGTGGCCACGTCCCCACGAATGGGAAAGCACGTTAGTGGGAGGGACGTAGGACACGTGTGGACCGCCAGGCCCTCTCAACCCTTTTCCTGGGGCTGCTCGGTGCTGCTGTTAGATGTGCAGTGCATTTCACTTGGAAGAACCCATTGTATAAAGTTCAAGGCTGAGAGTTCTGAATTCTGGCGTCAGCTTCCTCAGGATTTTCTTCAGTTGCAAGTACCTTTCCACTGAAAATGTGAGCATGCCCGCCTGGCTAGGCATCTTTAAGAGTGTCGCCAGGCCTGTGCCAGCTGAGGCCTCAGACTAGCCAGGCGAGAGCCGTCTGACCGGTTGGTTGGCGGTGGTTCTGGCTGAGCACGAGGGAGCCCGGGTGGTGTCCCTGAGCCTCGAGCTGCTCCCTGTTCACTGTCTTGAATCAGACTCAGAAATGGCTTCTTCACAGCCCTGCCTACAAGTTTTTCTCTGGGGCCCTCTTTCAAGGATGTCCACGGTACCTTCCTCCTGAAACTTGAGGAAGTCTTTTGTCTTCCAGCTGCTCAGGGTTCTCCGGTCCAAGACCCTGCTTTAAAAAGAGTCTGTGGAGTGCTCAGACTCCAGCGCTCCATTCTTCAAGGAGGTTGACTTGCCTCTCGGGCCCCATAGGTACCAAGAGACTGTTTACCTCCCAGAATGTTTGGGCTTGAAGTTACATTAAAGTGAAGTTATTTGAAAGAAAGAAAACCTCATCATTTCTAAGGATGACTTAATTACTGTGCCTTTTCCTTTCTTTTTACACATCCTTCTGTCCCTTAGGGTAAAATTTTCAGCATTAAATAAAACATTTCAAATATATTGTATATGGCTTTAGTTGTAAACTATACTGCATGCTGACAGAGAAGTGCTCTTTTAGCTAAGCCCAGAACTTCTCTTTTGACAATAAAGTACTGAGCAGTGGTATCACGAGGGCCACCTCCACATTGTCCCCTGCAGAAGAAATGCAGATGACAGAAAGCTGATGCTGTCCACCACTGAACAGTGATGGAGATGGTGCTAAGTTGTTACAGTTGTCTTAGCCCCAGTGGTCCTCAAAGTGGGGTTCCTGGCCCAGCAGCAGCATCCCCTAGGAACCTGTTAGAATGCAGATGCACAGGCCCCACCCGGCCTCCTGCATCAAAGTGGTGTGTGGCGGGGTTCAGCAAGTGGTTTTCACAAGCCCTCCAGGTGACTGGATGGAAGCTTGTTTGGGAACCATGGGTTTTAGCTATTCTGGTGTCTCCCTGATTTTCTACAATGCCAGGATCCTAGTTTGGTGAGGTTTTAAATTTAATCTTATTTTTATATAAAATGATTGCCAGACTTATTATATTAAGCTTGAAGAAGCAGAAGATCCCTGTTAATGTGTATGGCCCAGGCCAAGAGCTGTCAAATGAAAAACTTTGTGCTTAAGCAGGTTTTTAGTATGTGTATCTTTTTGATGGTATGAAGAATTTATTTAGGCTTGACTGTTTTAAAACACCATAATGAATGTATAATTAATTTATGTTAAAGTAATAACCCCTTGTCACAAGGGAATGGTAATGTTGTGATTGGCTGCCTCTTAGCCCATCGACTATTCCCATCATGGTAGTCCTTACCTCTGTCGGCAGCTCAGAGCCTCCACATTTTTATATTTAATTCTGATGATAAATTAGCCACCATAATCCCATGGAATTAGGTCTTGTTAAAATCTAGGCCAGGCACAGTGGCTCACACCTGTAATCCCAGCACTTTGGGAGGCCGAGGCGGGCTGATCACAAGGTGAAGAGATTAAGACCATCCTGGCCAACATGGTGAAATCCTGTGTCTACTAAAAATACAAAAATTAGCTGGGTGTGGTGGTGCACACCTGTAGTCCAAGCTACTCGGGAGGCTGAGGTAGGAGAATTGCTTGAACCCAGGAGGCAGAGGTTGCAGTAAGCTGAGATCGCACCACTACACTCCAGCCTGGTGACAGAGCGAGACTCCGTCTCAAAAAAAAAAAAAAAAAATTAAGCAAACTATCTTTGAGTCAAAAAAGTTGGATTAACTCATCTATTTTAAATAATGCTGTCTGAACGGCCAACATCCCAAGAATGTATTAAAAACAGCAACCCTGCCTACCGTTTTGATGACCTTTTTCCATATTAAACACATTGAGAACAAAAGTGTCACCGCTTGCTTCTTACCTCTGGTTCTGAAGTCAGATGTGTCTTCTCTGAGCCACACAGAGCTAGGGGTGAGCCACAGTTCAAACACAGATACAGACTGTCACATGACATACTTCAAAGTTTGGTACTTTGTATCAAACCAGTTTTTCCTCCAGAAGATTAAAGTTGCTTTGTCTTTTTTTGAGACGGATGGAGTGTCGTGCTTGTTGCTCAGGCTGGAGTTCAATGGCACAATCTTGGCTCACTGCAACCTCTTCCTCCTGGATTCAAGCGATTCTCCTTGCCTCAGCCTCCCAAGTAGCTGGGATTAACAGGCACCCACCACCACGCCCAGCTAATTTTTTGTATTTTTAGTAGAGACGGTTTTTCACCATGTCGGCCAGGCTGGTCTTAAACCCCTGACCTCAGGCGATTCACCCACCTCGGCCTCCCAATGTGCTGGGATTACAGGCGTGAACCACTGCACCCGACCTAATATTGCTTTCTCTTAAGCAGAAACTCTTTCGTGCCAGTTGCTCTCCTCCCTCAAAGCAGCAGTACAACCAGAGAAAGCCAAATGGGTCTGAGTCTTTCAGGAATCCAGACTGACTTGCAGATGCCTCTGAGACTTCCAGTTCTGGTTTTGACTGTCCACACATACACTTGACTCATGCTGCAATTATGCTAAATCCAGTAACTACTAGAATGTAGCTGAACAAATCTAATTTCTACTGTAAATATATACATAATTAAAAGACATTTTCCTATTACAGGTTGAGTATCCCTGAATCTGAAATGCTGCAAAATCGGAAACTTTCTAAGTGCCTACGTGACACTCAAAGGAGATGCTCATTTCGAGCATTTTGGATTTCGGGATTGGGGACACTTAACTAGCAAGTATAATGCTAGTCAAGCAGAGAAATCTCCTTTCAGTCAATGAGGGGCCACATATTACAACACTGTTCTCATTGTACCTTTAGTATGTTATGTTCAGATACACAGATTCCATTGTGTTAACAGATGCCTACAGTATCAGTATAGTAACTGCTTTCCAATTTAGGAGCAATAGGCTACACCGTATAGCCTAGGTGTGGAGTAGGCTACACCACCTGTGTTTTTTAGGTACATGTAGGTACATGTGGTGTTCACAGGAAGAAACTGCCTGATGACTTATTTCTCAGAACATATCCCTGTGGTTAAGCCATGCTTGACTATATTCCAAAAGCCGAAAAACCCCCAAGTTTGAAACAATTCTGGTTCTAAGCATTTCAGATGATACCCAACTTACTGTATGACTGTGGATGCCTGAAGGTTACTATAAAAAATATTTTACCATATGAAGCTATATTGCCTCTAGGTTATGAGTTAAATGCTTTTTAGCAACTGGAGCTCTAGCTGAGAAGGGAGGAGACTGCAAATATTCACAGAAATGAGTTGATAATTACTTTTCTTAGCCTCCATTTTACTCTGGAGCTCCAGGGGTGATGATGCACTCACAACCCCACAGTGTGAACACAGGCAGCGCTGGAGCTCCCAGTCATGTTTTCTCCAATATACATGCTGCCTTTAGTTGTTTCTGACCACGTTAATGGAAGGCATCTTAAAGGTGGAACATGTTGGGAATGGTATCCCAGGCTGAAGTAGTATGGGACCATTACCTGCATCTTTTAAAATTAGAAGTGAAATAAACTGTGCCCCATCTTTTCTAGGCAGCAAATGGCTTTCACCAGTATCTTCAATCCTAGAAGCAAAGGCAGCGAAAGGTTCTTTTCTTTTTCATAAGGGACTCCAATCATTCAGCCTTTTTCTAAGCGCTAGATGACCACGTAAATGAGGAACAGTCCTTTGGCAAGACGGTTTTGCAAATCCTGTGCCCTTGCTGTGGCTCCTGGGTGTTTCATATTCTTACCATGACAGGCTGCAGCTGCACTGGGCAAGTATGGCTCTCCCTTTCCGTGCAGAAGCGTGTACATGTGTGTATGTGAGTGCACGCACACACGTCAAGCTGACAGCTTCAGGGCTGGAGCAGAGAATGGGAAGGCTAAGCCATGCTTGCCTCAGTGGCAAGGATCTCCACGAGAGGACACAAAATTGTTATCAGAAAGTAGGAAAATAAACATTAGGGCTTTAATCCTCTTAAATAAAATTTTTAAATTAAACATTAACATTTAAAGTATACCAAGCGTGCAGTCCTATTTTGAGAAAGTCCATTTTGCCAGGGTATACACCTTGAGGTCATTAGTAACTAGTTGAATATGATTTAAATATGTCTGCATTTAGATGAACAGAACAGGGTAAAAGGACCTTTGCGAAGCCAAGCTCAAATTCCTGGCCACATAATGGTGCTGAGAATTGTCAGTGCCCACGCCCATTTTCAGCCGCTGTTGACTGATGACAAACGAACTCACTATGTTCTTCACAAAGATAATTTTTTGTATGGAAAATGTTTCAACTCTTGCCTTTCCTTCAGCGAATGAAATGTGATGGGCTAAATATGCCAGTCACTCATGAGCCGCAGTGAGCTGCAGGGACACACGGTGCAGACTGGCGCGTCCAGGTAGCCAAACAGAATTCCCCAAGACCTTTTATTTGTTTAAAATACTTTGGTGTCAGCAGAGTCTGAGCAGACACATTACTCATGATGCTCAGGAGACCTGGCAGAGCCCCGCTGAGCTCTTCTAAGTATGTGGAACTATTAAACGTGTGGCACTAAAAGGGAACAGACTCCCGAATTACAGTTCATTAATGCAGTTATGCAACCCGCTTCCTTTTCTGTTTAGCCACTGGTTACTTAAGGTTTCCAATAAGGTTTGGGAAAAGGTCACATGTACTCAAAGATGAGAAACAATGAACCAGCCTTAAGAGTTACAGCAAGTGAGTTTAAAAACACCCACCCCATCAATAGCAGCTAAGCTTCCTTCACCACCCCCACCAGGGCGGGTCTCAGAGTGCGCCCATGCAGCTTGTACCCCACTTTGCTAACTAGGGCCACTGTGCCCGGCTCCTTCCCCTCAACGGGCGTGTGGAACAAGGCCTCATGTTCATACGGGTCGAACTTGGCTCCGACAGGGTTCAATCTGAGCAAGCCATGCTTTGTGAACACCTTCTGGATCTGGACTTCAGTCATGACCAGCCCCTCATAGAGGTTCTTCAGGTGAGGGTTATCGTCTTTAATTTCTTCTTTAGGAACACACTGTGTTGCCTTCTCCAGAACGTCTGCCACCTCCAACAAGTCCTTGCAGAAGGCTTGAATGCCTGAAGTTAAAGAAGATCATTTGCACTCCATACCAACTGCACAGGGCAATTCCAACCTGAGCACTGCTGACCTGATGTGGAGGCTATTTAATAACTTGTCAAATCAGTTGCCTCAGAATTCCAATAGCTCAGGAACTTCAACAACACAAAACCCTCAAAAGCTATTTGTGGGATGAGACCCAGAATCTACTAAATTTAGAATTTACTAAAATGTGAAGAAAGGAGTGCAGTAGAGGGGAAAATACCCTTGAGACATCCAAGCCCAGATGTCAAGTAAGCAGTAAGATACAGAGGACTGGAACTCAGAAGATCCGAGTTTGAAGCCGAGACTTGTGTGTGGATGCCATTAAGCCCATAAGAGTGTGTAAGTCACCCAGGGAGCACAGCAAGGGGAGAGAACCTAGGCCTGGTACTGAGTCCCAAGAGCCCAGACATTTACAGGTCAGAAAGGGTAAGAACCAACAAAGCACATTACCACAAAGAGAGGCAGAATACCAAGAAACAGGCCACAGCATCCAGGAAAAAAGTGTTTCAAGGAGCGCTTCAATCTCTGTGAATGCGGCACAGACTCTGGTTCTTAGTTTCCACGTAGCCTCTCACCCTGTCTGACCCGGGGCAAGCCATTTACCCTCCACTGAGCCTTAGGTTCCACATCTCTAATACCCACTGTCAGTCATGCAGAGACCCACAGCCAGCACTCAAACACCAGCCTGTGGAGTTGGGAGCCTGGGTTATGTACCAGCTCTGTGATGTGTGGCAGGTGACTAAACCGCAATGATCTCAACTGTAAAAATGGGAAGAATAGTGACAAAAACATCCAAAGGTGACAATGCATATAGCATGCTGGGAGTTCTGAAGTGATGCCAGTGTTACTTCTGGAGGGCTAAGGGGATGGGCATCAGAGGCTGACCTGCTGCAGGTTCCCACTGAGGTCTCTGTGTGGGGCAGGACACACTTATTTACAATTCTTCATGCTAGTCTCAGCTACTTATTTCTGCTTCTCCAGACACCTTTGCTGTTGGGCCATCATAAAAAAAAAAAAATGCAGGGGATGCAACTGCTGGGCCCCCCGCCCCACAGCCTCGCTCTCTGACACTTCCATATGCCTGGCCTTCCCCTTCCCCACCCCATTATTTTCTTTTCAGAATCAACACCATGTTATGTTGAACGTACCATATAATTTTGCCTCCTCTACCAATTTCTGGCTCCTCTGCCGCAAGTTCTCAGTGTCTGCCAAAGCTCGTTTATATTTTTCCTAAAATAAAAAAAAAAGGGAAATTTATATATATATTTACATATATACATATATTTTAAATATTTTTTTATTTTTTTTTTGAGACAGAGTCTTGCTCTGTCTGTCGCCCAGGCTGGAGTGCAGTGGTGCGATCTCGGCTCACTGCAAGCTCCGCTTCCCAGGTTCATGCCATTCTCCTGCCTCGGCCTCCCAAGTAGCTGGGACTACAGGTGCCCGCCACCATGCCTGGCTAATTTTTTGTATTTTTAGAAGAGATGGGGTTTCACCGTGTTAGCCAGGATGGTCTTCATCTCCTGACCTTGTGATCTGCCCGCCTCAGCCTCCCAAAGTGCTGGGATTACAGGTGTGAGCTACCACGCCCGGCTGGGAGATTTATATTAATATGGAACAAAGTCATAGGAAAGCGAGCTTGATTGGAAAATGGCTGTGTAACTAACTGCAAGTCAAAACAGAAGTAGTATCAGTGCCTTTGAAATATGACTAAGGAGGGTAGCTTAACGAAAGCTTAATAAAAGCTGCACTCATGATCTTTTGCTATGTTCAATGTTACCCAGAGGTGGCTCAGTTCAAACACTCCTTGTGTAATCATCATCTGAGTTCTAGTATATTCCTCATGTCTCACCACCTTCCTATAAGCTCACTCATCTGAGCTTTGCTTTTTTTTGAGACAGGGTATTGCGCTATTGCCCAGGCTGGAGTGAAGTGGTGTAATCTTGGCTCACTGCAGCCTCAACCTCCTGGGATCAAGCAATTCTCCCACCTCAGCCACCTGGGTTGCTGGGACTACAGGAGTGCATTACCACACCCAGCTAAATTTTAATATTTTTTTAGAGATGGAGTCTCACTATGTTGCCCAGGCTGGTCTTGAACACCTGGGCTCAAGCAACCCTTTTGCCTCAACCTTCCAAAGTGCTATCAGAGGGGTAAGCCACTGCGCCCAGCTAGCTTTTCTCTTTTTAACATTTACTAAATTGCTCTGTGGGGGCCTCTAGACTGCATCCATTTTCAGTCTTCAGGTAATCACTGTGCGGTGGCAAGGAGTAAGAGCTCCAAGTCCAGATGGTCCTGGTTCAAGTCCTGGCTCCGCACCTGGCAGCCAGGATTAACATATGTAACGGGTTTGGAATGGTGCCAGCACTCAGGGTTTGTCATCATTCTCAAATCCTTAAAGAACTTGATTTGTGCCACCCATTGGTTTTCACATGGAGTAATAATTCATGTTCCTAGTTCACAAACCTCCTACCTGCCTATGAGAGCATGACATAAAACCATACTCCAGCTCCCAACTCCTGTACTTGAAATTTTCTGCCTCCTAAGTCCCAACCTAAACCACCATACTCAGCATTCCTCATTTGTAAAGATGATTTTAAGTTTTAATTCAATGACAAATAACAGCATGTAAAGATCATTCTCTTGCCAGAACCACAGCCACACAGGATTTGGGTTCTAGTCTTTGCTTTGGCAGTAACTTGCCACCTGGGCCCACTGCAGGCCGTGGACAACGGCTTAACTCTGGCTTTAGTCTGTCACCAATGAAGCCTGGAACCTTTATGTGGCCCAGGAGAGAAACAGTTCAGCCGAGCCCCCTCCCACAGGAGCCTGACAGTCCTCACCACAGTCTCCTTCAGCTGCTCCTCCAACTTAACCTTCTCTTCCAGGAGGGTCTTCTCTGTAGCAGGAGGATCTGCCTTCTGTTCACTCTGACCCACGTCCTCTTCCAGGTTCTGGCCACTGTTCTTTTGTTTCGTGGCTGTGCACAACAACCGGGGAGATGGCCTACAGGAAGTCCACATGTGAGAAACGAAGACTTTGTTTTTGTGTTTATTACAGTCAGATGTATGATTTTAGAAACTTAAAATAGCTTCAAACTATTTACTATTACTTGGGGAGAAAACATTTCTTTTAGATCTAATAAAGGCACACTGTACTTGACATATAGAAGCTATACTAGTAAACAGTAAATATAAAAGCTATAAGTCATATACAGTGTGCCTTTATTAGATCTATGATAAACATATATATATATTAGAGACAGGGTTGCTGTCTCTCTCTCTCTCTCTCTCTCTCTATATATATATATTTTTTTTTTTTGAGAGAGAGAGAGTCTTGCTCTGTCATCCAGACTGCAACCTGTCTCCTGGGTTCAAGGGATACTCCCACCTCAACCGCCTGAGTAGCTGGGACTACAGTCGCTTGTCACCACACCCGGCTAATTTTTTGTATTTTTAGTAGAGATGGGGTTTCACTATGTTGGCCAGGCTGGTCTTGTACTCCTGACCTTAAGTGATCTGCCCGCCTTGTCCTCCCAAAGTGCTAGGATTACAGGCGTGAGCCCCCGCGCCTGGCCTCTCTTATGTATTTTTAGAGACAGAGTCTCGCTGTCACCCAAACTAGAGTACGGTGGTACAATCATAACTCACTGTAACCCCGAACTCCTGGGCTTAAGTGATCCTCCCCGCTCAGTCTCCCAGAGTGCTGGGATTACAGGCATGAGCCACTGTGCCTGTCTTTTTTATTTTTATAAGATCTTCTGTAGTACATGCCTAAACTTACATGTCAATGTGCCAAGTTACAGTACTTGGTACCCAACAGTACTAACCTCCTTCTCTTTCCATTCTAAGGTGACTGAGACAGTCTGCCCAGACCTAACCACCTACTTATGGAATAGCTACTACTAGAGTGAGGCCGGCCTATTGCTGATCCTGATAACAAAGATAGACCCAGCAGAGATCTTGCAAAAAAAAAAAAAAAAAAAAGGTATCTAAACACAAAGAACTGTAATTTGGGATTTAAAAGTGATTAAGACAGGCTCGGTGGCTCACGCCTGTAATCCCAGCACTTTGGGAGGCCAAAGCAGGTGGATCACCTGAGGTCAGGAGTTCGAGACCAGCCTGACCAACATGGAGAAACCCCGTCTCTACTAAAACTACAAGATTAGCTGGTCGTGGTGGTGCATGCCTGTAATCCCAGCTACTTGGGAGGCTGAAGCAGGAGAATCGCTTGAACCCGGGAGGCGGAGGTTGTGGTGAGCCAAGATCTCGCCACTGCACTCCAGCCTAGGCAACAAGAGGAAAATTCCGTCTAAGAGTTACACAAAAGGGATCAGAGGAGGAATGACGGGATAGATGCAGCGTCAGGAAGAGTAAACTGCTTGGACAAAGGCATGAAGACAGGAAAGCACTGGGTATGTACAGTGAACTAGAACCAAGTGATAAGCCCAGGTCACAAAGCCATTAACGAATGATAAAATAAAGTCTTAAAACCTAGATTTCTTCACCAGGACCAGAGAACCTCTTTTTTTTTTTTTTTTTTCTTTTTTTGAGATGGAGTCTTGCTCTGTTGCCCAGGCTGAAGTGCAGTGGCGCCATCTTGGCTCACTGCAAGCTCCGCCTCCCGGGTTCACACCATTCTCCTGCCTCAGCCTCGGAGTAGCTGGGATTACAAGCGACCGCCACCATACTCAGCTACTTTTGTGTATGTATTTTTAGTAGAGACGGGGTTTCACCGTGTTAGCCAGGATGGCCTCAATCTCCTCCCTTCGTGATCTGCCCGCCTTAACCCCACGTTCACAAGCCCGAGACCCCTCTCACCCCAGTACTGGGAGTAGCTGGGACTACAGGCGTCCACCAATACGCCTGGCTAATTTTGTTATTTTCTTTTTAGTAGAGATGGGGTTTCACCATGTTAGCCAGGATGGTCTACGATCTCCTGACAGCGTGATCTGCCCGCCTCGGCCTCCCAAAGTGCTGGGATTACAGGTGTGAGCCACCACACCCGGCCAGGACTTCTTTTTAAATTAGGCCAGTCCAATCTGAGAATAAGCTACATTCAATTTTCTTCCCAGATTAAAACTGCTTCAACGAATAGGAAGGCTGCCAGCACACAGAACTTACAGTCAAGGTTGTTTATTGCAGCACTGCGGAAGCGACAAGTTGGAAGTTGGAAACAATGTTTGCCAGTGAGGAAATGGCTGAATAAACTTGCTAACACAATCTGGAATATTATGCAGCTCCTAAAAATGGGTTAAACTGCTATTTATTGGATACACTTTGGGTGTTCTGTTAAGAAATGTAACTTACAGAAAAATACACAAAACAGGATCCTATTTTTGTAAAGACAAACTAGAAATCCTGTGTACTTATTATTATCTCAGATCTGTGGAAAGAAGTGGAGTGGAAGAATCCATTACAGTCTTGCCATGGGGGTGGAGAGCGATGACCATTTTATATTTTTACTCTTGTGAATTAAAAAAACTAAGAATTTAAATAAAAACTGAGTGTACTGTTGTGAAGCCCACCTCCCTCTCCAGCTGTTCTGCCTGGGGGTATGTCAGCCACCAGCCTTTCTGCAGGTCAGCTCTGCACTGACCCCTTTCCAAAGCACAGCCAACACGAAGTGTGGCCAGGAATGCAACACGACCCACACCCAGGGCCATCTCGTTCTGCAGAGGGAAACTGAGTCTCAGAAAGCCTAGTTAACTACTCTGAGAGCTATGACTACGAGTCAGCTCTCCTCCCTTTCCCTAGTTGAGCATCTTTCCACAAAACTACCATTCTAGAGACAGAAATGAGGCTGACTCGGTGGTCGCTTTCCTGGCAATTAATTCCAATACAAAACCACCAATTACTTTACCAAATTCTTTTTACTCAAGTATTCCACGTGGGTCGCTGCTCTTGGCTCCTATGTTTTTAAGATATAATTTATTAAGCTCGCACTTATCCCTTAATCACCTCGACTGAAAGTGATCTTCACCTCACCTACCTGCTGTCTTTCAGGGAAAAACCGCATCTCACTGCCCAGCTTTTGGCCAATTTGGCCCTCAGTGGCTTCTCTAATCAATAACTTGGTTCTAGGCAGCTCCTCCAGCAAGTACTTGCCATACTAACTTCTGAGGTAGAACTTTTAAAAAGTAGAAGCAGCAGGTTTGAAAAAAAAAGGGCACTGACTCTCGTGGCCTTCAGTCCCGAAATGTGCGCTTGTCTCAACAAACTCTTCGTCCAGCAGCGGCACAGGCTCGACTGCTCTTTTGATCTCAGACGCTGGAGAAGGTGGAGTGAAGGAATTCGAGGCCGAGTGGAAAAAGCCCATGAACCGGCAACACGCACCTTGTGACACGAAGTTTCCCGATCACCGCTGTGGCCCCGGCCTCGAGCCGCCGCACGGAAATGAGTAACAACAGCTCCTGCCTAGGGCACACCCGGCCGGGCTCGGCCTCGCTGCGTGACCTTGGACAAGTCTCGCGCTTCTTTGGTCGCTTTTTCAACCGCACAAATTGCAGCTGCCTCTGCGCCCGTGAGCGCCGAGGTCGTGAACGCGCGCGAGGCGTCGCCGCTGGCCCTGGACCACACGCGCACGTGGACCACAGTACCTTCCGAGCCAGACGCCCCCGTGCTGCGGTACTCTCCTGACACGGCGCCCGCCCACTCCACCCTTCCAGCCCAGGCGGCCATGCTCGGCCTCTCCAGAACCCCGAATGGAGAGCCTGGCCGCAGAGCAGGCCCCAGCGGGGCGATCCGCGTCCCGCAGCAGGGAACCGCGAGCCCGGAGATGCCCAGCTCCGGGGCCGGGGAGGAGGCCCCGGGGCCAGGAAAGGTCCCCATCGGAGCGGGAGGTCGCGCTCCCACCTCAGCTTAGGGAGGCCAAGTGCCCCTTACCTGAGAGACAACGCCAGAGCCGGAAGACTGCGCCGCGCCAGCCTCACGCACTGAGCCGCCATGACTGCCACTGCCTGCCGCCGCCGTCGCCGCGCACGCACCAGGCGTGCGTGCAGGCAGCTATACCCACTTTTCCGCCCTACTACTTCGTCTCAGCCAATCCGTAACCGCTTTTCCTGTTATGGACAGGCAATAGTCACCAATAATTGCGGGTCACGGAAGAGCATTTCCACCCCCCCATGGGCGGGGCCTGAGGCTCACCGGCGGCCGCGAAGAGGTGAAAGGTGAAGTGAGCATTGGGAGGAGCCTCCAGTAGGCGTGGCGACGCCGGGAGGAGCCAATGAGGAGGCAGCGTGAGGGGGTGGGCCCAGAGCCGGGGTTGGGGCGTGCGCCTTGCGAGCCGGGAGGGACTTCGGAGCCGGGTTTTGCGTAGGAACCCAGTGCCAGTTTCCCGTTTCCCGGCCTGCACGCGGCACTGCGCTAACACTCCGGGCCTCCCTTTGCTCTGGGAATGAGCGTGGGGAGCACTGTTCACCCTCACACCCTGGCTCCAGATGGGCGCGGAGCACTCCATGTTTGCTAAATGAAACTGAAGCCTCGGCGCGAGCGCCACCCAAACGGCGGCGCAGGTGCTTAAGAAATAACCGCGGAGGCAACCGCTTGGGAAGGCGCCCCCACCCCGACGCTGCTTCTCCGGGCGCCCGAGGCGGAGAGGAGAAGGCGCTGGGGTCTCAAGACCGTCTCTACCAGTGAGTTCTGGTGAAACGGGAAACAAAACCCAGGAAGCAAATGGGACAAAATGTTGGCGGTTTTGATGCTGGATGATGGGCATATGGGCGTGTGTTTTGTACCTTTCTGTTATCTTCGGTTTTCTCAAAACACGAAAAACAGACTAAGAACAGCGTATAGAAAACATTGGGGCACAACTAAAGCTCATAAATGCACACGTCTTCATAACCTGACCGAGGTCCGTGCTGCTGTAGCGCATACCCCCAAGAGCAGAGGTGCTGGAAGAGCAGGGGCGGCGTGTTCTTATGGTCCAGGTGCCGGCCCCCAAGCGGGATTCCCGTGGGAGATAGGGCCTGGCTCCCGCTTCAGCACAGCGTGGCCTGGAGTGCAGTTCTGACTGCCAAGATCTGAGGACTGGAGCCCGTGCCCTCCCCAGGATCCCAGACTTAAGAGTCCCTGCCCTCCCCGGGATTCCAGGGCTGGATCCTGTGCCCTTCCCGGGATCCCGCGGGGGAGCCCATGCTCTCCCCAGGATCCCAGACTTAGAGCCCATGGCCTCCCCAGGATCCCAGGGCGCGAGTTGGTGGCTTCTCAAGTGGAGTGTTGCCTGCTTGTTACATTAGTGAAAGTAGGACCATTTGAGTAAAGGACCAAACCTTTATTCTTTTGCTTTTCTCCCATTGAAACCATTCAACCCATGCTGATTAACACCTACTGTTTGCCAGGTAATATGCCCCTTGCAGAAAGACGCAAAAAACTAAACCCCAAATGTGGGATGTTGTACAGGACAAATGACCTTGTCAATTAATACCAGTAATTAAGATAATAGTATAATTATGATGATAATATAATTAATTGGAGCCTGGAGGAAAAAAAAGAAAGTGGAACTGAACTATTAGAGAATAAATGAGCTTAAAAGATGCCATTGAATTGAATGTGTGGAACTTATTTGGATCATGACACAACAAACCAGCTTAAACGAGGCATTTGAGAGATAGGTGGGGGAAATTGGAATATAAACCGGGTATTAGATGAAAACTGGGAGTTATCGATACTTTTGGTAGGGAGCAGTAACGGCTGGTGGGTAAAATGTCCTAACCTTTAGAGATGCAAACGGAAGTATTTACAGTAAATTGCCCCTATGTCTGGTATTCACTTTGTAAATTCTCCATGAAAACAAATTCAAGGACAGGTGAAACATAAGTGGCAACTGTTAGTAATGGTTGAAGCTGGGTGATGAATGCCACAGGAGTATGATGATTTTCTTTTGCATGTGTTTGTAGTTTTCTGCGATACAATTTATTTTATTTTATATATATATTTTTTGAGACAGAGTCTTATTCTGTTGCCCAGGCTGGAGTGCAGTGGCACAATCTCGGCTCACTGCAAACTCTGCCTCCCGGTCCAAGTGATTCTCATGCCTCAGCCTCCCTAATAGCTGGCACTACAGGTGTATGCTACCATGCTTGGCTAATTTTTTGTCTTTTTAGTAGAGATGGGGTTTCACTATGTTGCCCAGGCTGATCTCGAACTCCTGAGTTCACGCAGTCCGGCGTCGTCAGCCTCCCAAAGTGCTAGGATTACAGGCGTGAGCCACCACGGCCAGCCTTTCTGCAATAAAATTTAAAACAGTGTCTCGGCCGGGCCCGGTGGCTCACTCCTGTCATCCTGGCACTTTGGGAGGCCGAGGCAGGTGGATCATCAGAGGTCAGGAATTTGAAACCAGCCTGGCCAACATGGTGAAACCCCGTTTCTACTAAAAAACAAAACAAAACAAAACAAAAATAGCTGGGCATGGTGGCAGGCACCTGTAATCCCAGCTACTGGGGAGGCTGAGGCAGGAGAATCGCTTGAACCCAGGAGGCGGAGGTTGCAGTCAGCTGAGATCTCACCACTGCACTCCAGCCTGGATGACAGCAAGACTCCATCTCAAAAAACAAACAAACAAAACCAAAACAGTATCTCATGTTTCTTATTGGCTGTGACCAAGTAACTTCGTTGCTTTCAACCTTGATCTGCTCACCTGTAAAACTGAGACCTTATTATTTGTTGTGAGTTTTAAAAAGAGAAACATGTTCATTACCTTCCTCTTTGGGGCTCAGAAGGAATCCGATGGGCGTCTTGCAGCTCCGAGCCTGATGAAGAATTGTAGCTGCTGTGCCTCAAGACAGATAAGCACAGGTCGTCCCAGTGGGGATGCCACCTTGGGGACTGTGAACCTCCGCTGAGGCCAGGCCATGCCCTGTGTCTGTATCCCGAACTGCGGGATTTCTCTGATCCGCCAGGGAAAGGCCTGCCACCTCGTGGCCGCTTCAGGAACTGCTCCAAAGGCAGTCTGCTCTTGGGAACCTACCTGCTTAGGTAGCTCGCTGAGGTCTGGAACCGCAGCACACTGCAAGTTATCTTCACGTGGCGGTGAAGCTGCCTGTATGGAAGACTCTTGGATCAGTCGTCTGAGCACATGTCCAGCAATGGGCATGAGTGGCCTAGCCAGGGACTTGGGGTGCCGGAAGAGCCGACTGTACAGCACGTGGTGCCCCTAGCAAGGATTGGGTGGTGTTTAAAAAGAAAAAAAGGTCGTGCAGATGGTCTGACAGCCTGTCGACCGTGGGCGTGGTGCTCATAGCAGCTGAGCATTGCCGGGGTACCAGGCTGTGTGCTGGGTGCTTCAAAGATGTCCTCTTGTGGATCAGCCCATCTGTGGCGAGGAGGGGACCGGGCTCAGCCAGGTTAGATGTGACTTGCACAAGGTCATGTGGGTGAAAGGAAGGCAGAACTCTTGTGTATTTCTCCTGACTGATCCCAGATTTTGCGTCTGGACTGAAGACAGAACCCACATGTGTCCAGCACTGGACATGCAGCTGCATAGCTGTGATCCCTCAGTGAGGGCATGGATTTTCATCCTTGTATTCAACTTTGAAAGAAACAAATTTAGAAAGATACGAATATAATGGGCGTGGCAGACAGAATGCTAAAGGTGGGCCCACTGACTCGTAGCCCTGGCTGTTCAGTTAAACACTAGCCTAGATGCTGCTGTGCAGGGACTTTGACGAAGGAATGAAAGTCCCAAGCCATCTGACTTCGAGATCAGAGATGATCTGGTGGGCTTGGCCACCTGAGCTTAATGAAAGCAGGGAGTTTTTCCAGCTGTCAGCAGAAAGGAAGGTGTGAGAAAGACTGGAATTAACATTGCTGGTTTGAAGGAGGAAGGGGTTGTGTGAGAAGGTGTGTGGGTGACTTATAGGAGCAGGGAGTGGCCCCCAGCCATGGAATGAGGACCCCAGGCCTGTGGCCACCAGGAGCTGGACTTTCAGGGCCACCTGAATGCACCTGGAAGCAGATTCTCCCCCAGAGCCTCCAGGTAAGAGCTCATCCCCGCCACCACCTTGATTTAGACCTTGTAAGACCTGGAGTGGAGAACCCAGTTTAAATCACTTAAGCCATATAATAACCCTGTGGGGCAGGCATTACTTTTTTTCTCACCATTTTGTCTTTATTTTGGACTTTGGTACCCAGAATAGATTCATCATAAACCTTTGGTTCCCATTCTCACCTTCATGCCTGCCCTGTTCTTGGCCTGCTTCTGTTTGTTTCGTTGCTACAATCAACGTCCCTGGACCCATCACGCAGAAGAAACCGAGGCTCCCAGGTTAAGAGACTTGCCTGGAAAAGTGTTAACTGACAGCTTGGCAGCAGAGCCACCGCTCCTTCCCCCTCGCGTGCTGGTTCCAAACCGAAAATGATGTTCTGGGTAAGAAAAATAGCAGCATAAGGGGCCACAGACGTTCGAGTTGAAATAATTAGAAATAACTTTCTGCAAAAAGAGCCAGACTTCACGAGAGGTAGTTTAATTGGGATAATGAGTTGCACGGGGAATGAGCAAATGCAAAGTTAATTAACAGTCATTTCCTTGAGACTAATCGAAGGAGAAAGATGGCTGTCTGGACCTTGTGGAACCCAGGTGTGACTCAGGTGCCTGCCGCTGGCGTGGTCATTTCTTGCCTGTTGCAGCCAGGGCAGCCACAGAGGCGGGCGTGAGGGGGGCCTGGGCTGGCCTGAAGGACAGGGAAGGAAGGAGGAAGCAAACTTCATGGAGCTCGAGGAGATCTTAAAAGCCCATGGACGTGAGAGCTAAGTGGAATCAAAAGCTGATTAAGTCGTTCCTTAGAAGCCTACTGTGATTTGAGCCCTCTTGTGTGTGGGTCGAATCAGTCATTAGGCAGGAAAAAAGTCAGAACTGTGAAAAGCACTGTGGGTGAGGATTGGTGGGAGGCAGCGTTTCTCATTATCGAAATAATAGATGCTTATAGAAATGTTGGAAACTGAATGATAGGATCATTTAAGAACATTAGCCCTTCTCCCCTCTGGTTCCCTTCTCCCCCCTGGTTCCTCTCTCTTGTCCCTGTTTAGGAAGTGGGGGGTGGGGCACTCGCTGCCTTCCCTTGACCTTGCCCTTGGATTGATCGCAAACCGACAACTGGAGCCAAAGGCATCATGAGGTGACAGC